GACCCGAAGAGCCTTCTCCGGGAGGAGGGCCGGCTCCTCTCCGCTTCCCTCCACGCCGGGCTTCCCATCCCCTCACCCGGGTCCCTTTTCCTCGCCCCCCCCACCGGCGCGTCCCTCTGCGCCCCACCCGCGCTTCTTCGGCCGTGACGCCGCCTCGAGGCGCGGCGGGGGCTTCGCGGTCGCGGGGAGGAGCCCCCACCCCCGGTGTCCTGCCCCGGCCGCGGGTGCGCTGCCCCGCTGGCTCCCCGGATCGTCCCCTCCGGCTCTCGTGGGTTAGGAATTCTGTTCCGTGTTTTGCCCGGCCACCCCGCAGTTCCCTCCACCTCCGCGCTCCTGACTATTTTTCCGTGCCTTGGATCAAGACACGCTCAAACCCTCCGGGAGAGTCCAGGCACTGTGCGAGGCTTCAGGGACAAGATGAAATGTGGAAAGTTGCGGTTCTCACTCCCAGACCCTGGCGGGGCGCTTCGCGGGCGTTTTCTCATTCAGTTCTCTGAACTCGGAGAGACGCCTTCCATTTCGCAGATGACTCAAGTTCAACTCGAGCACTCAAACCTAAGTCTGTGGGACTCCGATGCTATCTATACCCAGTCCGTCACTCCTCCGTCTTCCACAAAGCAGCTGGAAGGGCTCCCTTCCCTCCACCCTGCCTCCTAAAATTAAACATTCCTGTTACTTGCTGTTCCCTGTGCCAACAGTGCTTTCCCCACCTTTTTTTGTGTGTTGCTCACCGCTGTGTTGTCAGCACTCAGAAGAACACGTAGTAGGCTGTCAGTAATTTTTTATTTTTATTTATTTATTTAGAGTCGGAGTCTCATTTTGTCATCCAGACTCTGGAGTGCAGTGGCATGCTTACGGCCACCGCAGCTTCGACCTACTAGGCTCAGGTGATCCCTCTGCCTCAGCCTTCCAAGTAGCTGGAACCACCATGCCCTGCTAATTTTTTTGATTTGCTGTAGAGAGGAGGTCTTGCCACGTTTCTCAGGCTGGTCTGGAAGTCACTATGTTGCCCAGGCTGATCTCGAACTCCTGGGCTCAAGCAATCCTCTTGCCTCCGCCTCCCAGAGTGCTCGGATGACAGGCTTGAGCCACTGCATCCAGCTTATTTTTATTTTTTAGTTGGATTCTTCCTCTGTGGCCCAGGCCAGAGTGCAGTGTCTTCATCACAGCCCACCCAGCCTCAACCTCCTGGGCTCAGGTGATCCTCCCACCTCACTCTCTTGAGTAGCTGGGACCACAGGCACACGCCACAACACCTGGCTGATTTTTTAGTTTATTGTAGAGAAGAGGTCTCACTGTGTTGTCCAGACTAGCCTTGAACTCCTGGGCTCAAGTGATCCTCCCACCACAGCTTCCCAAAGTCCTGGGGTTACAGGCAAGAGCCACCATGCCCGGCCATAGTAATTTTGTGTTAATTACACATATTGCCCGTCCTCTCTGATGTCACTTCTTTCATCTCTCCAAAGTGAAACTTCTTTGGAATATCCACTAGACAAAGTATGAACCTTGTGATGGCCAATTTTCTTTCTCTTTCTTTTTTTTTTTGAGTTGGAGTCTCATTTTGTCACCCAGGCTGGAGGGTAGTACCACACTCCCAGCTACCGCAGCCTTGACCTGCTGGGCTCTGGTGATCCTTCCACCTTCGACTTCTAAGTAGCTGGAACTACAGGCACATGCCACCATGTCCAGCTAATTTTTTGATTTATTGTAGAGATGAGGTCTCGCCAAGTTGCCCAGGCTGGTCTGGAACCCGTGTGCTCAGGCAGTTCTCTCAACTCGCCCTCCCAAAGTGCTGGGATTATAGGCATGAGCCACCACGCCCAGCTTAGGTTGCTTTTTCTTTCCCTGCGGTTTCATGCCAGCCCTTATATTGGGCAATGTTGTCACTGCTGTACCTTCTTTTTCTTACATCTGTTTCATAGTCACTGTGGACCTTGGGTAAAGTTTAGCTCCAGTAGAACGCCTGTTCTTTAATGAAGGAGAACAAGGGAAGGACAATGTTGATTTGCCAGTGCGTTTTGATCATGCTGGAGAACCTCCCAGACTTGTTCCTGAAGATGGACTTTCACTGACACTGGGGTTTCTAGGCACTCTGGGCTCTGAATTAGGGGAGTGATCTATATTTTAGTGCATGTTCCATAGCAAGTTGGGTAATTCTGACCAGCAGCCTTCTGCTTCAAGTGCCCAGAGATCTAGACTAAGAAAACTTAAATTCAGTTTCTGGTGTGTGCTGATTTGCAGTTGACCTCAGACAGGTTACTTAGTCATTTTGAACATTTGTTTCTCCAAGTGATAATCCCTTTCAGAAGGGTATTGAGATGGCTGTGAAGCATATTTTTCTTGTAAGAAGGTCACTATATGCTAATATGAATTTGCACTAGTCAAAAATGGAACGATCCTTTTAAATCATTCAGTTTTGGGATGGTCACTTTGAATTTGGCAGAAAGCCAGTTTGACTATTGGCATTTTGGGCATCTCTTGTGTTTTTCAGTTAATGTGTTTATAGTGGTCTGAGTGGTATAGGTGTGCTAAAAAAATAGATCTGCAGTTTGAAAAGCTTTTGCTATTAAACTTAAATCTCAATTTACATATGAGAGTTATACCTTATTCCATGGCATCAGAGCATCCATGGGCAGTAGCTGCTTTTATTTATTACCTCCGTGTGATTATAACTTTGTTAGAAGAACTGTCTCATCAGAGTAGTTTGGCTGTGTCTCAGCTTTCTGCCAAAAGTACTCAATTGGAGGAACTGTTACTCCTGATCTCTTAACTTTTAGCCAAAAGTTTTCAACGAGATGGATTTTTTTTTTTTTTGAGTCAGAGTCTCACTCTGTCACCCAGGCTAGAGTGCAGCAGCACGCTCATGGTCACCACAGCCTCTATCTGCTGGGCTCATGCGATCCCTCCACCTTAGCCTTCCAAGTAGCTGGAACCAAAGGCATGCGCCACCATGCCTGGCTAATTTTTATTTTTTTTTGTTGTAGGGACACGGTCTCGCCAAGTTGCTCAGGCTAGTCTTGAACCCCTAGGTTCAGGCAATCCTCTTGCCTCTGCCTCCCAAAGTGCTAGGATTCCAGGTGTGAACCACCATACCTGGCACCAGATGGATCTTTAAGGAAGATAATTCCCAGTGTCCATTAACTCCAGCTTTTAGAACTGGAGTTTCATGTTGTCTGCTGGAACATTAGACTGGAAGTTAGTACATTTTCAAAGTTTACTTTTAAGCAAGGCGCTGTAGCTCACGTCTGTAATGCCAGTACTTTGGGGGGCCAAGGCAGGAAGTTGCTTGAAGCTAGGGGTTTGAGAACAGGCTGGGCAACCAAGTGTGACCCCCTCATCTCTAGAAAAAATAGAAAAATTAGATGCATGTGGGTGGTGTGTGTCTGTAGTCCCAGTTACTCCGGAGGCTGAGGTAGGAAGATCACTTGAGCCCAGGAGTTTGAGGCTGTGGTGAGTCATGATCGTACCACCACTGCATTCTAGCCTATCTGATAGAGCGAGACCCCCAACTAAAAGACAAAATACAAAGTCAAAACTTTACTTTTGAGGTGAGGTATTTAATTTTTGTGCCTTAGTTTCTACCCCAAATACTTAGCTCAAATTTATTAATTGTGCAAGTAAATAAGAGACACTGTAGCACATATTTCATTTATTGACAATGTCCAGGGCAACCCCTTTGGGTCTCCTCCCACTGTGGGAACTTTTCTGTTCTCAATAAATCCTACTTTCTAAAAAAAAGAAAGAAAGAAAATGTCCGTAAAAGACATTTCCCTTAGACTTTAGATTGAACATTGTAGTTACAGCCATGTCTGTGGCTTTTGAGGATCACCTGCTCAAACCATGAGGACGCAGTTTGTGGTAAAGTCTTTCCTCCATTCCTGGGTCAGTTCCCAGGCATCTCTCCTCTGACTCCTGTTCTCTATGGATTCCTGTTCCTTTGTAGTCTCTGATTGTTAGTATCATGCTCTTTAGTTCTTTTTTCCTTTTTGCTGGTTGTGTAGTGTGTCTTTAATGTCCTTTGCCATTCCCAGCACTAACCTCACGGACATCATGAGGCTCTTAGGTGTATTTGTGTCCTCGTTATTCCTAGGACAGTAAATGTGTAGATGTTGAGCAACCAGTGACACGTTTCCACAAGTGTTCTCTTCCCATTTCCTCTTGTATTCTTCCTTCTCTTGGAATTTTTGCATGTATTATTTATTTTTTCTGATTTTTCTGTTCCAGTTGGAGTGCAAGCTTAAAAAGGAACTCATATCATTTTCCTTTGATACTCATTCATTTATCATTTATTTTTTTAGCCCTTTCTGTGTGCCAGCCACTGTGTTAAGGGTATGTGGTATAACATCATAGAACTGAAAGCTGACCTCAGTCCACATCTTTCCTCACTTGCAGAATGAATTCTTGGGTACAATTTGAGGCAATGTAGTGTAGTTGTTAAGCACTGAGTTATGCAAACCTGAGTTCAAACTGGCTTCGTTTTGTTATCTTTGTGTCCTTAGCCAAGTTACTTAGCCACTCTGAAACCTCAGTTTCTTGATGAGATAAGGAGGATAGTAACAGTATCTGAAAGGCCAGGCATAGTGGGTCACACCTGTAATCCGAGCACTTTGGGAGGTGAAGGTGGAAGGAGCCCAGGAGTTTGAGACCAGCTTAGGCAACATGGCAAGACTTCATCTCTGCAATCAATCAGTCAGTCAGAATTGTCTGGACGTGGTTATGTGTGCCTGTAGTTCCAGCTACTAGGGAGGCTGAGGGGGAAGGATCTCCTGAACCCAGGAAGTCGAGGCTGTTGTGAGCTGTGATTGTGCCACTGTGTTCCAGTCTGAGTGATAGAGTGAGACTCCAACACACACACAAAAAAAACCCAACAAAAA